TGTGATAGTAATGATGTTGGTTTTAGGATGACCAAACAGAATGATTTTATCGTTACTGCTAAATGTCCAAACTTTTTATAAAAAGATATATGATCAGATATTTTCTTTAATTTTAAATATCATGCGTGTTTATTTATTTGTTTATTTGTTTATTGGTTTATTTATTTATTTATTTATTTGATAAATGGTCAAAAACATATTCGAAACTATTTTATGACAACATTATTTATGACAAATACCAATATTAATATCGATATTTACATATTCAATGTTGAAAAAATTAATTAAGCCGAATAAACGGTCTTTAATATCAAGAATTCAAGTGAAATATAATGGATATGTTAGTACAGTGCGTGACTTAAAGACTACAGTGTCCTATTTTTTAAATTTTAAAAATTTAAAACTTTAAAAAGTTGATTTTTGATATTTTTAAATTTGCTTAATTTTATTGGCTAAATTTTATGAATTTTGATTGGTTAAAATTTTTAAATTTTTATTATATAAATTTAATTAATTATTTGGTTTAATGTGTCCTATTTTCAACTTTTTTTTATATATTATCATATAAAAATACTATATTTTAAAGTTATATATTTTAAAAAAAAATTATTATTACTTTTTAAAAAAATAAAGCCGCCAAGTAGTAGTAAATTGATTTAGCTACAAAATATTGGCATTCTTTTTTAATATCTTTTTTGGATTAAAAGTTATTAGCTTTTAAAGTTTATGTAGCCTTTAAGTGTCGCGAACTATATATATGTACAAAATATCGCTGAAAAAGCTTTATTAAAAAAAACTTCAACTAATAATACATCTGAAAGCACAATTAACTAAACAAAATTTTCGTGAATACAAGACAAATACTTCTAAAAATTCACGATTTAACGTTTCGCTAATCAATATCACTGACTGAGGAGGTTTAGACGTGGAATTAGAGGGATGCATTGTAGAATGATAAACAGTCGTAACACACATGGTCATTGTAGATATAATGTTTCCTTGATGTTTAATGTTTGAAGTTTGTAATGATAATGATGGAATTGGAGTTGGACTATCAGATGAATCTTGGTCCTTTAGCATGGTACCAAATGGATAACTAGGTCTATTGCTATTATGAGATTTATCAAAATCTTTTGGAAGTTCAGCGGTTGTGATTTGAAGGAGTGTGATGCTGATGATAACGAAAAGTGTATAAAGTTAAAAGTAGAATTGAGATAGATAGTCATTATTTCGTTTTTAAATTATGCTTTTATGAAATATAAAGATCGAAACTTATTATCTGTCAATAAAAATTTGGATGTTCACGCTACCCGTTGTTCAATGGGTCGAAATTAGCAGAATGTAACTTTTAACTTCTTTTGCGTTAAAACTTTTTCAAGACGTTTAAATGCCACATATTCTTCTCGATGAAAATTTCATCACTTCTTGATCATTTCAATGATAGATTCTGCAGTTTTTACTCAATTTGTCATTATTAAAGTAGTTTCTTTATTACATTTTGCATTCAAAAATTTTATGAATTTCTTTGGCTATATCCTTTATCGTATTGACTATAGCAGTGTTAGCAACATTCGTAATTATATATTCATGATAAGTCAAAAAGTGAATGTATCTGTATAGCTGAGCGTATTTGTTGTCTGGAGCTAAGCAGAAGACGTTTTATAATTTTAGCACGATTATCTTTGCTATATTTGATTATACGGTCAGACCTCTTAACGTGCTAATTGCCGAATTGATTATAAGAATTCCAATTATAATTCTTTATTTGCATTTAAAATGATTCATGATCAAAGTTTTTTTGATGAGGTAAATTTATCAAATTTTGTTTAATGTTTAAATTATATGATTAATACTTTCTTTTTTAAAGTTAAGGGCATTTTGCGAGATCGGATATAAAAATCCATCGTTCTTAAGATGCTACGGTCTATCGAGAGATGATTCAGAAAATTATATTATTATTTTGAAATATGCAGAAAAGGGATCTTTACGTAATAATCTTTTCGAAGTATCAAAAATGAAATGGGAAAAAAAATTAAATTTATTAAGTTGCATAGCATCTGATCTTGAAGCTATTCATTCACAAGGATACATTCACAAAGATTTACATACGATTTAGATAATGCGTATATCGTGGACTTAGGTCTTACATCGCCTGCTAAAAACGACAACGAAATTGTTGGGATTTTACCTTACATTGCACCAGAGGTTTTATCAGGTCAACCATCTACACAAGCAGCAGATATTTATTCATTTGGTATAATTATGTGGGAAATATTAACAGGAGAAAAGGTTTTCGATGGTTACGAATTTAATGATGATTTAGCAATGAATATTTGTTTGGGATTGAGACCAGAATTCTCACCCAGGACACCCGAATGTTATGTCAAATTAGCTAAACAATGTATGGACTCAGATCCAGAAGAAAGACCTACTACTATATATATTAATGCGTTAATTACTACTTGGATCGAAGAACTTGCGCATAAAAGCAACAAAGGAATAATTAAAAAGCAATTCTTAGAAGCTGATAAGCAATCATTAGAAGCTGATAAGCAATCATTAGAAGCTGATAAGATAGATAAAAGATCACCAAGTATCGTACAAAAAGATCAAGTTCATAATAAGTACACATCAAAGGCCATTAACACGCTAGAGATCACGAAATCATTATCAAAAATGGCAATTGCCAGCGCTCCGATAGATAGTGTGGAAATTCCGGAAGAGTGAAAACATCGCAAGTTAATCACAATAAACCAATTAAAAACATGATTCTTAATATTGTGGAAAGATAAATCTTGAAAAATATGTCAATACTTTAATGTATGAATTTTAGAATCTTCCCTCTGTATAATCTTATGATGGTAGTTTAGATTGTTGAATTTAAGGAAAACCAAAGCTGATAGATTTTGTCAAATTAATTTAGCTAAAAAGCTTGTATTGAATATACTCAGATAAATATGTACTTATAACCAGCGTTGTACATTTTGATGTCTACTGCTGGCATATTAAAACTTCTTAATTAATAAATTTATATAAAAAATACTGGATTATATATTTAGTTCTAAATATTTTTTGCATAAAAAAAAATTCAAATAGGTGATTTGAAATGAGTAACTTTATTTATTTGATAAATATGTCCAAAGCTACGATGACAACACTAGTTATTAGTTATGACAATTCCTAATATCGAAAAACTGACCGATCAGTCGAATAAAACCACCGGTTATGTCAGCATCCACTAATCATTATGTAATGTTACGTTGGTATGTATGTACTGTGAAAAAAACTATTGAAAAAAAGTAATAAAATTTCGTCAATCATCACTAATGGAAGAAGGTTTAGTCGTGGAATTAGAGGCATTCGTTGTAGAATGATAAATGGTCATTGTAGATATGATATTTCCCTAATATTCGATGTTTGAAGGTTGTAACGATAATGATGTTGAGTTGGACTAGCGGATGAACCTTTATCCTTTAGTAAGGTACCAAATGGAAGACTGGGTCTATTGTTATTATGAGATTACCAAAGCCTTTTAGGATTTTAGCAGTTGTGATTTGAAGTGTGATGCTGATGTTTACGAAAAGTGTTATGAAGATAAAAGTAGATTTGAGACAGGCGGGTGGACATTTCATTTTAAATTATGCTTCTGTGAAATATGAATATCGAAACTTGTTTTTATCAAATTTGATTATTCAGTTCCCACGAAAAGTAACGGTGGAGAGTTCTTTTATTATAAAAAACTTTTTTTTTACATTTAAACTTCTGCAAACCTCCCCAAGGTAGGGAACATGCACATAAAATTTCAAAATCTGATATGTCTTCTATCAGCAACAATATAGGCTTGAGCCAGTAATAGAAATGACTTGAAGTGGCCAAAATGACCCATATGAAAAATGACAAGTCATTGCTCATTTTAAGGCCTAAATGACTTAGAATGTCATTTAACACGTTATATAATTAATAATCTAATATATACTTTTTAACCAATCCGAATTAGTTACTAGATATATACCGTAAAACTAATTTTTATATATAAATCGGTATAATCGCATCGATATAAAGTTAAAATTTTAATTAGTAAATATTCATGCCTAATTAAAGTTGTCAGGAGTAACGAATTTTAGAAATTTGATGTAATTTGAGTACCTTTTTTTTTTTTATTAATTCACTTTCACACTTTACATTTGCACGAAAATTTTGAATTTTGTCATATAAATGCAAAATGCAAAAGTGAATTAAGAAATGTTATTCAAATTTCATGAAATTTCTATGATAGATGTAATTAATTATCCTCTAAAAATCTTATTTAAAGCACAAATGTCAATGACGATGTAATGCGAGTTCATTTTCTCTGACACTAATATGTTTAAAGCATTATCATTATCTCATTATACAGTTTCTTCACTAATAAAATTAATCGAAGTAAATCCAGAATGTCACCTTTATATGACCCAGGTCATTTTAGGTGACCAAAGCTATTCGTCATGAGTCATTTTAAATGACCTAAAATTTGGTTGACTGGCTATTTCGAAGTCATTTGAGATCACCATGACTGCCATTAATAGCTTGAACACTGTTATAAAAGTGATTTATTGAAGAATCTTA